AAATCTGCAGGGGAGTCCTGGGGTGGGGCTTGTGGTGCTAGCAAGGTACATGTAGAGTGTCAGGACTGGCTTTCGCAAGCATCCAGCTGTCTAGGCTGGGAGAGGGCAAGAAATATGGCACCTTCTACAGTTCCCTCCTCTTTTGGTACAGTTTCTAAGATTGGTCAATAAATATCCTTCATATATACCTCAAATGCTTTTCAAAATGCTGTGTGCTATGCTGTGTCTCAGGCCAAGTTATTCAGAGAGCCAACACGCTAAGGGTAGGGACATGGTTTCCTATCACCCTCTGGCTCTCCTAGGATTAAGCCCCACTGATTTTCAAAGCCATTACAGGGACTCATCTTCCCAGTGTGGGTCCCCAGGGCTGGGGATGATTTGTAAAGGGTCTCATTCTCTTGTTTCTCTGTGCTTTTGATGTCCCTCCTGTTTGTGGTTAGTATGGTTCCCAACGATATCTCTACTCCATTTACCCTTTTGGGTGTAGCCCGCTTTCTATGACTAGCTATGGAAGGTCTGTTCTGCCAGTCTTGAGGTCATTTTTAGAGTTAGTTATAATCGATGTAGTAGCTGTCCTGGGGTGTATCTGTGGGACATGATGAGCTCAGGATCCTGTTTGGCCCTCAGCTCTGCTCTGTTCTTATACTTCGATTTAAATGTTTATAGATGGTTTCTTTAGTTCTATGTACACATTTAAAATGAATGACTTAAAATCTGTATCTAGTTAGTCCAATGTCTGGAATTCTCCAGGGACAAACTTTTTTTTTTTTTTTTTTTAATTGTAGAGAGTGTGTGTGTGTGAGTGGGGGAGAGGGGCTGAGAGAGACAGAGAGAATCTTAAGCAGGCTCTACACTCCACATGGAGCCTGATGCAGGGCTTGATTCTATGACCCTAGGCTCATGACCAGAGCCGAAATTAAGTCAGATGCTCAACTGACCGAACCAACCAGGTGCCCCTTCAGGGACAGTTTCAATGGACTACTTCTTTTTCTATATATGTGCTATACCTGATTTCTATTTGTCTCATAATTTTTTGTTGAAAACTTGACACATAATGTAATGTGGCAACAATGGAATCAGGTTCCTACCCGCCTCTTAGGGTTTGTTACTGTGGCTATAACTTGCTGTTTCTCTTTGTTTAGTGACTTTCCTAAGCTAATTCTGTGAACCTGGTATTTTTTATAGTATGTGCCACTTAAGTTTCCACCTAATGGTTGGCTAGTGATTGAACAGAGATTTCCTTATATACTTGGAACCAGTAAATCTCCCAGTCTTTGCTAATGGACTGCTTGGGGGAACACCTTCAACACCCAACCAGGTTGCTGACAACTCTGCCTTAGTCCTTCACATCCTGCCTCTGTGCAGAGCCTAAGGGTTGACCAGAGGTGAGAGCTTAAGGCCTACTTAGGTCTTTCTTGAGCATGTACACAGTCCTACCTGTATGCTTAGAATTGTAGACTGTTAAGACTTTTCAAAGCCCCTATAGACTTTGATATCTATGGACCTCCTATTCACCAGCTTTTCCTTTTAAGCTTTTTGGTTGTCTATGGTTTGCCCCAAATGTTAGCTATACCTCAGACAGCCATAAAATTAAAGTATTAGTCTATAATGGGTTCTGAAAAATGCTCCACCCCTCCCAGTTCACAGAGGATTTTTCCTGCTGGGCAAGCTCTGCATCAGGTCTAATATAGACAGCCTTGTAAGTGGGGTACTTCAGGAACCACCAGACACGTCAAATAATGACAATTATTTATTTGGCAATTCGGCTTTGAAAGAGCTCCGCCTGTTTTGTCCCTTTGGTGCCTGAGAGACTGCAGTGGAAAAGTGGGCTGTTCTTTTTCAAGGCTACTCCAGAGCTGGAGAGCAGGGTACTGGACTAAGGCAAGTTAAAATGCCACAAAGCTCACTGTTCATATCATTCTCTTGAATAAATGCTCCATGGACTTCTGCAAGCCTTTGAGAGGTAGGTTCTTTTTTTTTTTTTTTTTCACTGCTTTTATAGAGGAGTGAATTTTTGAAGGTCCTTACTCTACTATTTTCACCGTCTTCCTGCTCCTGACTTTGATTTCTGGAATTACAAAAATAGCAGGTAAACTATATAAACTGTACGTACAACTACACCACCCCCAGATTTGAAAATCACAGCCTACTAGTACCACAGAAGTGAGGTGGCTGAGAAGGCTATCAAGAAACACAGACAGGGTTTCTTTGCCTTTAAGGGGTTTACAATCTAGTTTGAAGGATAAGAAAAACTATAATCAAAAGATAAAAGTGTCAGTACCTGGTACCTTCAGGAACACAATAAATGCTGTCTTGATAAATAACCACCTGACTGAGTTACAAATGCAAAAACCCTATGGAATCTCAGAGAAGGGATTCAGTAGGGTTGAAAACTGCATCACAAAAATGGCGATCTCTGCTTGGATCTTGACAGAAACATAGCAAAGTGGTGAAATGAGGCAAGAATGTGCCAAAAAAGGAAGCATTTGTGAGTCCGTGAGTTTCAAGTATTTTTAATGTAAGCCTTTATATATTCTGGATGCAAATCCTTTGTCAGATACAGGGCAACAATCATTTCTCTTGAGAGGAGGATTCACTAATAGATATAATAAGAGATAAGTAAAACTTGACTCTATAGGCCAGAAGGTGGCAAACTATGGCCACAGACCTCAAGCAAAAATTACCTACTTTTGCAGTAAAATTTTACTATTGTCTAAGGCTGCTGTAGTGCTATAATAAGGAAGCTGAACAGTTGTAACGTCTCTCCTTTTGTACCTTTGCTGGGAGTTTCATAGAGCCTGAAATATTTTCTATCTGACCCTAATATTGGCCATGACTCTGGCCCATACCTTCCGGCTACAGGCTCAGCAATGGATAAGACTGCTTAAAAAATATCTATAAAAAAGATGAGCAGCACTAGATGAGACAAAGTTTGCAGGACTTATGGTTTGTTGAAGGGAGACAGTAAAAAGTCAAAGATGACTCCAAGGTTTTGAACTTGTATGCCTAGCACAAAAATAGCAATGGAGTGAAGTTAGGTGAAAGTATAATGAATCTGTCTTTAAACATACTAAGTTTCAGACATTAATGAAACTTTCAACGGGAATATTTAAAAGTAGTTACAGACTTAATACTTCAACATGGGAGGGATGACATGGTTGGAAATGGGGATTTAAAAGTTCTTTCCAGAGTTGAAGTCCCAGAAAATCGTAGTGAACCCCTAGGATAAATCCAGAGAAAGCATAATTGAGTGGAAGACTGGATTTTAGGAGATACTCACATATATCAAGGAGAAGACCGGAAGAAGTAGTGCCAGTAGAGAGAGTGGAGGAAAGGCCAGAGAGAAAGGTGGGAATCAGGGTAGCAAAGTAGATGTCATATAAGCTATGAAAGTTGTTTTATGAATAGAAGGCATAAGGATGAAGAAAACTCTATAAAGGAAAGAGTGAAACGGATAAAAGGTCAACTGCAATGACAAACGGTCAAAGTTGTCAAAAAGAGAATATCAAGGCAAGGGGTAATTTTTCAGATGAACCTCTAAAGTTCAGTGCTTTATAACTTTCATACTAGAAATTCTACAGGACTTTCATACTAGAAATTCTACAGGAAGTAGACTTTACGTTTATTTATGAAAAGATATCCAGCTTTTCTAGTGACTCAATTTTCATGACAAGACACACATGTGTCAGACAGCTAAAGGATGATCACAATCACTATTAAGAAGAATCTTTTAAAAAGGATTACAGAAATGAGTGGCAATAAGAGAGAAATGTAAGGTTATTAAAAAGACTTGCAAAGAGTGCCACACCAGGACCTGAGAGAACAGCAGAGAAGCCTGGAAGGGTAGACAGGCCCAGTTGCTACTTCCCTAAAGCCTGCTGCTGTTTATTACATGCCTTGTCCACCCAGCCCATCCCAAGTGAATCCGTTATTTCATGATAACTGTTTGTTTGCATGTGTAAGTCCTGACTAAAGTTCCTTGAGTGAAAAATTGTTTTTCTTGTCACTTCTATCTTCACTGAATCCCTATGCTCCTACATATTGTTTGTTTTTAATTTTTTTACAGGAAAATGCCATTAAATGGATTAGTGAAAAATCCAACTGACTCACCTCCAGATTTATACAGAGCAAGTAAAAGAACAGAAGAGACACTGAATATAGATAGGTATTTGAATAAAACATGGAGTATAAAGAGAAAAACAATATTCTCAGTTGCTGGTGTTTGCTAGGACAAATTGACAAAAATCTATTTAAGAGTTAAAGCAGTGAACATTTGTAATGAAAAGGGAAGTGACCTGCGATAAAAAAAAAAAAAGAAAATATTTTGAAAACACCATGTAAAGACCAAAGAAAATAAAGAAAAGTGAACAGGGTGTTTTAAACTCTTCAGAATATAGATCCTTAACAAAAAGTTCGAATTAGCAGATACAGGGAGAAACAGAATTTGAACTGAAGATTCTACAGGAAATATCTGGGAGACTTTATGGACTTTAAAAGTTCACAGGCACTTTATGACCCCCAATTTTACTTCAAAACTAATTATATTATGTATAAAATATGTCATGGGTAGCTTTTTGAGTTGCAAATAAAAACAGAAAAATAGGAAAATGAGGAGGGTATGATGGAAAGAGTTGGAGACTCTTTGTCTCCATGATGTAATGAGTGAGTCTGAATTGGTTACTACACGTAAGAAGGGAGAAACAATGTATATGAACTCCCAACAAAAGTATAAAAGGAGGTTAACAGAGAAAAGAGGCGTGATTCTTGGAATTAGCCACTAGGTGGTGGCATTGGCCCAGGACTGTTCAGTTGTGGGGGCTGGAAATCAGGTGCCTGGAGTAAGCAATTGTGTGGTCACTTAACTATGGGACTGTCAGAGAATGACAATCTACTTGATTATATAAACATCTTGAAAGCAAACACCAGCTAAATTCATCAACAAATTATCAAAGGTTTACTAAGAAATGATTATAAAAAATATAACTTTGCTATCTACTCACCTTTACTACATTGTCTCCCGACTGTCCATTATTTCGTAAACAATCTAGACATATAGCAATTTGTGGGTCACTTCTGTGATAGTCTTTATCATCTTGATTTTCATCACCTTCTTCATCTACTTTAGGTTTGTCAACTTTTGAAGTATCATCTGTATCATTTAAACAAAACTGAGTTAGATGAAACTCAGTTGATTTTAAAGTTAACAGCATAAAACAAAAATTTCTTAGTTTTTGATTGAAGAATAACTAAAAATTTTAATATCTTTAAAATACTCCAACCAATTCAACAACGGAGATATTTTTAAAAAGCCATCAGTGACTCATTAACTTAGCCTAAAATTTCTAGACTCACTGGGACATCCAAATGAAAGATTCAGGACTAGCTATATCTGGCCACAAAAATGATCGCAATTAGGGATTAGATCACTTAGAAAGTAGACAGGACATAAAAATATTCCAACTTCTATATACACTCAAATTTGGAACTAAGTACACTTTTCAAAATACAAAATATTCTTTCTCAATATTTCAAATTATTAGATATTCATAAAATCAGCTAGTGAAATGAATTAGCTTTTTAAACATGTATGTAGCTATGTAACATTAAAAAACCTTTTTAAGGAAGTCTGAATAGCATACATTATGTTATATACAAATATATTTAAGAAATACATGCAGCCTACATATAATGCAACTCCATGTGCTGATTCATTTATTTATGGAGTCCCTTTAACTCTGTTGGATATGCATTGCGCTAGGCTTGAGGGAATACTGAAACCAGAGTGTTATCATCCTGACCCTCACAGTGGTCAAGGTACAGAAGGAGGTACAAGGCAAGTAAGGAAAACAGACAGATAGAAAAATATGTTAAGGACTTTGATGGAAGTGGTAAAAATAGACTATGTGGGAACATATAAGAGGTAATAAATCCAAACTCTGGGGTAAAGCAGAGATTCAGAGAAGATTTCTAGATAAAGTATCTCTAAGCTGAAACTTGAAAGAACTAGCCAGTCAAGCATCACAGTATAGAAAATCCCAGAAAACAAAATGACAGGCTAGCTCCTCTTTAATGACTAGTAAAAAGCATTACAGTTTCATCATCAAGGGCAGGCGGTTCTCCTTCTTCTGCATTCTTTCTTCTACATGTTTTTGTGGAGCCCACATAGACAGGGTAGGTTTTTATGAACCAATCTCCCAGGCCCCAAGAAAATATCCAAATTCTCTACCCAAACTAAAGAGCAAACATTAAAAAAATATTTGAAAAGAGAGAGATATGGGTAAAGGGAGTTACACACACAGTAGGTTGTAGTCCATTGTGAGTCTTAGGAGATACACATAACCATGGACTAAACCTACTATGTAGCTTCTGATGACAATCCCTTGGGTTCCTGCCCTCTTGAAAAGATAGTCAAAAATTGGAACATTTAGTCAACTTTAAATTATTTGTACTTTTATTAGAGCATGACTCTCTAACCTGCAATTTACATTTGGTAAAACAAAGCCTTTCGTGAAGTCATTTTTTTTTTTTTTGTCTGACTTGGCTTCTTTGCCCATTTTGTTGTTACAGATAAAAAAAATAATCCCTTACTACTTTATTCCAGTCACTTAAAACTCTTCTCAAAGCTCCCCTGCTATTGGAAGCCAGCCTTGAATAGTTAATAAAACTATGATCCTCAGTTTACAGATGAAAAGAAAAAGAGCATTTCCTCACCTATATTAATGATGTATAATTGACAATCCTATGATCTTAAGAGAAAATCAAGGGTAGGAGACTGAGCTCACAATGAGCCTATAAAACCATACACATATCCTTAAAAGATTTCAGTGGTATTTCATATTAGGAACACATCATATAGATATGATAAATATCATATTAGATAACAATGGGAAAAGGATACTAGTTCCTTTTAATTTCAGGTATGTTGAATTTATTTTCCCCTTTGTGTGAATTACACATACTAAAAGTCCTTTTTCTGCCCAGTAATGTTTGCTATTTTGCTGAAATTATTATTAACAATTATTGATGGCTGAGTCTCCTGGGACCCAGAAGAGAAACTTGGACACTCAGCATAAGTGATGGAGAAAATCCCCATAAGCGACTAGAAATATTTTTCAAATCCCAGAATATATAAATTTGTATCATCTGAGTTCCACCTATAAAATATTATTCCAGATTATTAGAGCATAGAAAGACCCCCTATTTTGGCACTCAGCTGCACCTTGGTTCCTTCTCCTACTAAAATAAAATAAACAAAACAGAAAACCCCTCTGTGTTTAGTTGCTGACTATGGCTATTAGAGTTTCCTTCAGCTCTCCCGCAAATATTGCTATAATCAGTAGTCAGTTTTCAGCTTTATCCCCCTTTTCTCTTTCTCAGTTTCCTCTTATTTCCAATTACCTTCATCTGGCATAACTCCACATTTACATACATGTATATAAGATCTCATGATTTTATATAAAAGGTTCACAATGTAAAGAAAGGGGTGCATGAATTTTGTATAGGATAAATTTGAATTTGAAGAGATATTAGTTCACCAAAGCTACATAAAGCTAACCAATTTGAGAGATTGTATCAGAGAAAATAAGAGAAAGTCACCTTGTCCATTTTCTTGAGGCTTATTTTTCTTCCAAAATTCAGATTCACGCTCAAGTTCTTCTAATTTAAAAGAAAAAAAGAAGTATAAGAATAACAGAAACAATCATGAAATCTTTAATGGAAATGTTGACTTCATAAAACACAAAAATCTGCAAGAAGCCAAAAAGCAACTTACGTTCTCGCAGTCCAGGGACCAGCTTAAATATAATTTCCTCTAATGTATTATCCAACCTTCCAAAGAGGAAAAAAGAGAATATACTAACAATGAAGATACCAAAATCCAATATGTAAGAGTTTGAGGCTGTATCTTACATGTATTACAAAATACAGGACACACACAATTTTAGCACATCCACTATACCAAACTCATCCGCATTCAGAGTGCACCCATTTCAAGCCTTTCCCACAGTCCTCTGAATAGGACTTTGAAATTCCTCCCTTGATTAAAGGATGGCATCCATTTCCTCATCTAGAATAATATGGGCTAGGCTTGAAATGTGCTTAAGCCAACAGAATGTGGCACAAGTGAAACTGTGCTGGGTTCCGAGCCAAAGCCTTAAGAGAGCCCCCATGCTTCTGTGCGTTCTCTCTCTCTCTCTCTCTGAGTCCTGCCATCATGAGAACAAGACAGGAGTACGGGACACCATTCTAAGATGTCGTTCACTGTGGTCTCCTGAGTAAGTCCAGCCAAGACCAGAAGAACCACCTACATCCATGAACCACACAGGTTTGTGAGGAATAACAAACACTTTTATTAATGTTTTAAGCATGAAAGTTAGGGCTGGTTTGTTATGCAGCCATAGCTGATACACCTGTTCTCAAACTCTCTACCACAATTCTGGCTCTTTGCTGTAATGGAAGTGATGTCTGTTCCTTTCTTCTGAGTAGTTTAGATCTTTCAGTCACTCTATCTTCCTAGATAAGGCATGTAAATACTCATCTTGACATTTTCCCGTTTCCTTTTCCTGCCAGGTGAGAGTGAACGCCTCCTTTCTGTAGCTGTTTCTCCACTCTCCCTGTTCCCCCATAGCCCCTCTGCTCCCCACCTCCTCAACCCTGCTCAGCAGCATGGCTCTTCTAGGTACAAATACGTACAATTTTCTCACATTTTTCTAAAAAACCCCAAACCTTTGCTTAACCTATGGTCTTTTCAAGCCGTTGGCAGCTTCTCAATCTTTTCTTCTAATTGGAAAAGTCTGAAAGCATAATCAATGTTATTTTTGACCCACACTCTGTGTTTTGCTTCTTTTACTCTTGAACTCATCCATAACTTCCATATTGAATAGGTTAAATTCTTGTTTTAGAATTACAGTCTAAAATTTAAAAATGGTTTTTAAAAGTCCTTTCTTTCCTGTATTGCTCTACAGCAGTTTCATAATGTTGCCTGATCCTGCCTCCTTGAAAATTCCTCTTTCTGGTTTTCCTTTTTTCTCTCTACTTCTCTTTGTCCCTATGTACTCTTCTTTTTCCAACTACCTCACAATTTGACGATTCTTCATTGCTGTGCACACCTGACCTCATCTACAGGCTGCATGCCCTGATGATCACATCCACTTTGTGGCTTGAAAGCTAACATCCAGGCAGATTGTATGTGCATGTGTGTGTATGTGAATACACAAACATATATACATATACATTACACTTCTCTGCTGAGCTCAATTTCCATATTTCTAATTGATGTTGACTATCTCAAGCACCTCCTTTTGCTCATCAGTGTCAAGACTGTCTCATCTACCCTTCAACAAAATACTGAATACCTCTCTCATTGTCTTTTTAAAAATTAAATTTAGAAATGATACCATAGCTCTCCCAAACAGGCTCAAAATGCAAGAATTATTTGAGCCTTCCCCCACCCTCTCAAAATTCATACATTTACTCACCAAGCCCCACTGACTGCACCTTCTCCGTGCTTCTCCCACCTAATCTTTCCATACCATCCATGCCCCCACTCTGTCAATCACCACCCTACTCGGAGGACAACACAGAACTACTTTCCTTTAAGTTGACATACTCTTAGTGAATCCTCCTTAAGCAGTAACTTGACCATTATCTGCCTGCTCAAGGACTAATTTCTTCCCGCCAGCTGGTTTTGAGTGTTTATACAAGTTGAGTCCAACCTACAAATTGTAACTGGTGCTATTCTCTTGCTGTCTCTCTTCTCTAGCCAACTGGCTTACTCAGTTATCCCTAAGAATGTCTGGTCATTTCCCATCTGTTCTTCTCCCTCATGCTCTTCATCCTGGCTCATATACTCTTTTCTTGCTCTCCAACCCAAACAATGTCACCTTATTTTTCAAGACTTAATTCAAATACTAACTTGTTCACTATTTAATTGAAATAGTACTTAAGTAGTATGTTTGATTTTTTTTAATCTGGGTACTATATATATGTGTAAATATACACACATAATTATATATATACACACAGATATATACACATCTATTATATATACCTATACCTGTGTATATATACATATATATAACTATACAAATACACACACACACTTTAAAAATCAAACTTCCCCATAAAACTTAATACAGTATTTTGATGAGCCACCCTTCCCAGTTATGGTTCTCACTACTGAGGAGGCAGACACTTTTAAATCCAACCTGTTTCTTCTGGTAGCCATGCGTTTTCTGCTGTCTAGACTCTTTTGACTTTTATCAGAAATAAAGATTTAGTTTTCTGCTATCATCTTGCCAGCCCTCTTTCCTCCAAACATATACTACTCTCATCTTCCTGATATACTCTTGTTACTATTTTTTTTTTTGGTTTAATAACCAGTTTACATTGTTATAATAATATGAATACTTACAGCGTGCTCTGATTATAGACATCGCCTCATTCAACTTTTTTCTTTTTCTAAAGCTAGTAATTCTTTTCTTCATTTTCCAAGTACCTATTCCCGAATTATTAAAAGAATTTGTTCTCACTGTTCACAAACAGATCAGGAATCAGCTAGCTTTACTTCTGTTCTCCTGAGACCTCCCTCAGCAAATTGATGTCCTCTGACCTCCTATCCAGTTTAGGACCGATTTACTCCAAGGTCAGTCATTAAAACCATACCTTTGCATGTACTTTCGATTCCCCTGTCTGTCCCTCTCTCACTTGCTCAAAATTATTTGGTACAACCACAACACTGGCTGAATCCAACTACCCATCGACTCTGTGCCTCCATCCATGGCTGGAGAAAACACAACCACAGCCCTACAAATTCATAATTACAATCCAAACGTGCTTTTAAAGTTGCTAGAAATCCTATTACCCATCCCTAGTCAACTTATTCTCTCAGTTTCCTGGATCCACAGTGTTTTCTCTCCTCAAACCTTTTCATCCCTCCTTTCTATCCTTACTCTTGGCTGATAAACATTTTCTCCTCAATGGAAAACCTCCACAGACTTTGACCGCCCTATCTACCTACACTGTCTGCACCCACATATACTCTGCCCTCCTGCCTGTTGCTACAGGTGACCTGTCAGTGCTCCTATGTAAAGTCAGTCTCCTCCCTTATACTAGGAGATTCCATTCCCTCTCATCTACCCAAGAACATTGTTTCACCAACCCTCTCCCTCCACCCTACTCTCCTACATTAAATTTCTGCTATCTAGTGGACAATTCCCTTCAAACGTGCCATCTCTTTTTCTGTATTAAATGAAACAGAAACCTTCTTGGCTGTATTTCCCCCTAACAGCTACTATCCCATTTCTTTGCTCCCATTTGTGACAAAACTTTGGAAGAGATGTCCACATTCACGGTTTCTAATTATCCGTTCTCCCTTTCTCTCTTAAAACAATCCAATTAGGCTTTTGCCTCACGGCTCCACTGGAAGTGCTCTTGTCAAGGCTGATGACCTCCAAGTTGTTAAATCTGACCATTGATTCTGTCTTCACCTTACTTGGCCCCAGGAACAACATCTGACACAGATGATCACTCCCTCTTCTTGGATATACATTCTTCACTTTGCTTCTAGGCCACACTCCTGGATTTTCCTTCTATGTCAATGACTGAAACTTTTTAGTTTCCTTTGCTGGTTCCTCCTCCTCTCTCTGATCTCTCAACACTGGAATGCTCCAAGGCTCAATCCTTGGTCCTCTACGCTTCTCTATCTATACCCTTTTAGGTGATCTCCTCCTGTCTCACAGTTTAAGTACCTTCTATATGCTGAAGACTATCAAATATTTATCTCCAGCCAGACATTTCCCTTGAATCACAGACTTTTATTTCCACCTGCCATCTTCTCTCTTCTCTGAAGTGATTAACCCGCAACATGTCCCAAACCAAACTCCCTATCTACTCCTCCCCCAAAGCTGTTCCATCATTAGTCTTCCCTGTCCCAGTTAGTGACAGCCCCCTTATTCCACTTGCTCAGGTCAGGAATCTCAGGTCAGGGTCTACTCTTTCTCTCATTCTCTAAATCTAATCCACCAGCAAATCCTCCTGGATCCCCATTCAAACTATATCTAGGATATAACCATCCCTTGTGCCCTCTGCTGCTACCATCGCTTACCTGGATCACTGTGATTGCCTTCTAACTGCTCTCCCTGCTTCTACCTTTGCCTTGTGATGTACAGTGTATTCTCAAAATGGTCTTCAAAATTATTTAAAATGAAGCCAGATCACATCCACCCTGTAACCCAAACCTTGCAGTGGTTCCCCATTCACTCAGAGAAAAAGATAATGTTTTTCACAGTGGCCCATGTGGCCCCTAGACAGACTCCCATTATCTCTCTGCCCTCATCTCCCACTATTTTCTTCCTCGCTCACTGTTCTCTGGCCACACTGGTCTCCTTGCTGTTCCTCAAACAAGTTTCAGGAGCATTCCTGACTTAGGTCCTTTGCACTGGCTTCTCCCTTTATCTGGAATAGGCCTGCTTTCCCTACATTTATACATGGCTAACTCCCTCATGGCCATACTTCTTTGCTCAAGGCTTACCATCCCAACAAGGCCTACCCTCACCATTTTAATTAAAATTGCAACCTGTCCCTCCCCTCACACTCCTGATCTTCCTCACCTGCAGCACCTCCTCCATTTCCCCCTTTGTACTTTCTAATGTACCATATAAGTTATTTATTACAGTTTGTTGTCTGTCTCTCCCCACTAAGATATTAATCCTACAAGGGCAAAAATCTTGATCTATTTTGCCCACTAATGGACCCTCAAGCACCTAGTATAATGCCTGAACACAGCAGGCATTCAGTAAATATTTGAATGAATAATTCCTCATAGAGTTTTCCATCTTACTTCTATCTTCTGTATCAGTGATGTCCAGTAGAAATGTAATGTGACTCAAATATGTAATTTTAAATTGTCTAGTAGGCACAACAAAAGCATTTTACGTGGTTCGTGTAAAATTAATTCTAATGTGGTTTATGCATTAAAATATTTAACAATGCACTTGTTTAGTAATTTAACTTACTTGACAGTAAGGTTCTATTTAATGTCAAAGCATTCATATTGTTTCAGCGTTTCCTTTAAATAAAATTTAAAATTCATTCCTCAGGTGTACCAGCAAAATCACAAGGGCTCAACAGCCACATGTGGCTAATGGCTAGCAGACCACACAGCACTGACACACACTTGTCGAGACTTCCTGCACAGCTGCCGACACCCCTTCGTCTCCCTCCTGTGTTAGATTCCCTTCCTCCCCGGTTTATGCTCCAGCACATCCTCCAGCAGTCTCCTGAGAAAGTGTGTAGGAGAAAAATCTGTTGACACTTGTGTAGCAGACACAGTGTCACCTACTGAAGAAGACTTGATCCCTCTTATTTCTTGCGAACAAAATAAGATTATGTTCTGGCAGCAATAGGTCCAGCCTTAGGCATAGATGAGAATTTACTAAGGCACCCCTAGACCCCATGCCACTCCTTTACCTAGGTTCGCATGTTACCTAGTTTGGAACAATAAGTGAAAGCCTGCTGGGGGACGCTTTGGTGAAGATCTTCTGCCTGCCACCTCCCAGCAGACTTGTTCTCTTGGGTCTGCTGGACCATCACTACCATCAATCTGCTTTCCAATTTCCATTTTTGCTCCCATCACTTCTCATCCCTTCAAAAAGCATTTACTGAGAACGTACTATGTTCCAGGAATTATCCCTAGGTGCCAAGAATACTGAAGTTCTCATTCTTATCATTTCTGTGCGTTTACATCTTTGAAGTTATTCCTTTGTAGAATATTTTTAGTGGGATAGGAGAAAAAAAACTATAAAGGATATCATTAGATAAAGTGACAAAACTAGAATATGGAGGATAGAGTAAAATATTATGCCAGCATAAGCATACTGTGGTTATGTAAGATCCTATCTCTAGTCTTAGCAAATACACACTAAAGTAATTATGGGTAAGGGGCCATGGGGTGTGTAACTTACTCTCATATGGTTCAGAAAAAAACAGAGCAGGCAAGCATGTACATAATAAAGCAAATGACATAAAATGTTCACAACAGACTAACCTGGGTAAAGAGAGTACAAGTGTTCCTTGTACTACTTTTATTTTGGGAACTTTTTGTAAGTTTTCAATCATTTCCAAATAAAAAGTTTTTAAAAATGTGCTATCATACTTTAGCTACAGGAGTCATTTGATTAAATGGTGATTGGAGTCCTTTGGGTAGCTAACAGTCAAAACCAAAAGTTAATTTTTCTTCCAACACAACACTTTAAAATGGAGTAGGTAATAATCAACTTTTGACACACTTTTTGATAAAAGCATCAGGAAAAATATTAGAAGAGCTTGCCACATTCTTCTTGGTGACTTAAATCAGGGTTTCTTGACCCCCTAGACCACTGAAATTTTGGGTTGACTCGCCGGTGTGGGAGGAGGCTGTGCTGTGACTCAGAGGATGCTCAGTAGTGTCCAGCATCCCTAACCTCTACCTACTACATGCCAGCAGCACCCAGCCAGTCCTGACAATCAAAAACATCTCCAGATGTTGCTAAAAGTACACTGGGGGTGGGGGCGGGGGCAAAACCACTGGTGGTTAGGAAGCACTGATTTAAATCCAACTAGGAGAAGCCCTGCTCAGGACTACAGACTACAGTAGAAGAGTGGTTCTCAACTGTTCGTTAGCTTGTATCAGAAACACCTTGAAGGCTTGCTAATTAAAAATGGGATCCACTCTCCAGTTGCTGTTTCAGCAGGTCTCAAGGGGATCAGTCACCGTCATTTCTAACAAGATACTAATGGTTTGGGGACCACACTTTGTCAAACCACTAGGCTTGACATTTACCTATAGATTACTCGAACTACAGGCACTAAAGTAAAATTTTAAAAAGTCTGAAAAGACTTGCAAATCCAGATTTACAGAATGATGGCAAACATCACACAGATTTGAGGGTTACAGAGGGGCTCATTAGGGAGGATCTAGTACGTTTTTGGATGCGTGCTTCCCTAAAATCACATAGGCGATCTGGTGAAGTTATGGCAGGAAAAGTAGAAAGAAAATGGGTTTCGTGGTAAGGACACTGGGCTTGGGAAATGACATTTGAGTTTGCGGAAATCCTAGGAAAAGCTGTGTCACTTCTTTAAGTTTCAATTTCCTAATCTGGAAAAAGGTTTAGATTAGGATCTTATGGCCTACTTCCAGCTTAAAAAATACAGAACTATACTTCTTTGTTTAAAGTTTATTTATTGGGGGTGGTACAAGGGACAGGAAGAGAGAATTCCAAGCAGGCTCTGCCCTATCTGCACAGAGCCCAATGCGGGACTTGAACCGAAGCCAAGAGTCAGATGCTCCACCGACTAAGCCACCAAGGCGTCCCTAGGATTATACTTCTTAAGTAAATGGTAGTCATTTAAAAAAATTCTTTTTTGGGGCATCGGGTGGCCCCCGACGCAGGGCTCGAACCCATGAACCTTGAGATCATGACCTGAGCTGAAGTTGGACGCTTAACCGACTGAGCCACCCAGGCGCCCCTAAAAGAATTCTTTAAGTTTACATAAATGTTTGTATACTTTTTGATATAATTAAAAAAGTAATAGTACCGAGGTCAGTCTCCCTGTTAAGTCTGCCCTCTTTTCCACTACCATGCTCAATAAAAGTAGGGTATGTGTGGAATATTAAAACATCAAAAATAACTACATCTAAAGTAGCTCTGTAGTTTTTAATTTGGAAATACATTTCTTAAGTATTAAATATACACAGCCTTATTTTTAAATTCCTCTTAATAAAGCTAATAATAAAATAGATAAAAAATTCATAAAACCTATAACTGAGTCAAGGTGTCAACAAATATGATGCACAATAAAACATATTAAGAGTTTATATAATTCGAGTTAGACAAGCTACAAAATACATTAACTTACCTCAGCATTTCTAACGGATTTGTCTCATGCACTTGGTTGCCACACCTTGGACAATCATTGCTGTCTTCAAAGTGCTGGACAATACAAGTCTTACAGACTAAGAAGGAAGAAGATGTTAAGTTAAAACATATCATTTGAACTTAAAATAAATGTAATTAGAAACAGTCCTTTAAAATTGCCTAAAGAATACTATTCTTTAACCAAATTTTATAAAACCTTAAAAAAATTTTAACAGTGTAAAAACCTAACTGAAATGAAGCTTACAGTCAACAAAAGAAAAAATACTACTACTTTGCTGATTGTTTTTCTTAACTATGTTCACAAACCAGATAGTTTATTCATATTACTACGAGAAAGCTGGTGCATCTACATAACAGTTCTTCTCATTTAAGGAAGGAAAAAAGTATGAACTACTAGTTCTGCACTTCTTTTGAATGCAACATAAATAGTTCTTAATAAAACTTGAGAGTTCTCAACACAGCTAGATTACTCTTTCTTGGCAGGGCACTCCCGGGACAGGTGGGGAGTTACAAGGAACTGCTGGCCTTGGCAGAGCATGGCAGAGCAAGGTGCTCACAGGACCCCAACTCCACGGAGCACAAAGTATTGATGGTGGCATCAAGCTGGTACCAAGGCCAGAGAGGTAGAGTGGAAGAACTGAAAAACTGACAGGTATAAGTAATATTTTAAATAAAAGTTCTAAAAAAGACATCAGAAATATGACTTGTGGATTTTGGGCCACAAGTCCCTATTGCCTATCTTTCCTCTAACAGTACAAATTTTTCTGGCTATGAACCTCTCTCACCTTTTCCCTAAGTTTCTATTACCTACTATGTCAAATGTTTTACCCAAAAACCTTAAACATATACACAGCACCTAAACTATAAAAAATTTTGATCTAATTCCCTATCTCAATACCCCCTCCTCCATTTTATTACCCTGATTAATCTGAAGCTTTTACCTGGTATGGATCTGCTCCCCCAGCCCCCTTTTTCAATTCCACTACAAAATACTTCTTTCCCCCCTCCTCATGCCCCACACTATCTAAAAGAAGTAAAAAGTTTAAACAACTGATCAAAAGTAAACACTAGGATTCCTCCCACTGAGATTAGGTCTGAAAATTCAAGCATATCACATACTTCGGGCAACAATGGTCAAGGAAGAATTCTACTAGGTCTCTAATATTAAAGTCATTCGTACAAATACAGAATGATATCTTGGTATTTCCTTCCACTTATTCATTGATTCAACAGACACTGAATGCCACGTCTTATACTAGGAGATGGGGATGTGGGGGCAAACACAACCAAGTCCATATCTTTATGGGGCTTGTATTTTCTTTGGAAAGGCAAACAAAGAATTTTAGTAATAAGTGATATTTACAAAAAAAAAAAAGTAGCTAGAGTGCTAAGAGCTATCAGCTATTTTAAATAGAGTGGCCCGGGTACAGCTTCTTAAGAAGATGACATATGAGCAGATATGTTTTACTAGATAGCTACACCTGAATCCCATATTCCCTCTTTTTCCCAGCATACAGCTATTAGGATAATACCTCTTCACTAAAATTCTCCCCAAATGTGGATGAAAGACAGTATCAGAAAACCTTAAAAATAAAAGAGCTTAGATATGAATACTTCCTCTGTCTTCCAAATCCCTTGGCCCCAAGAAGGTTCTAAATGTCTTTTAAAAAGTCAATGTTTGGGAAGAAAGGACTTTCCTGGTAAGCTATATTAAAGTGGAGAGCAGAGAAGCTGAATTCTTTTCAAAGCTTACTGGTATTTGCTTTTTTCCCAGGGACACAAGATAAGTCTCTGAAAGTTGGGAAAGAAGCAAAAAAAGGAGAAAAGCAAAAAAAGATAAGAGGCAAGAATGAAGAGTATTACAAAGCCTGATCCTATCCTGAATCCCGGGTCCGACCCTGGAGCTCTCATCCTTGTGGTTCAAAAGGTTTATCACACTCAGAGAGTTCAGGAATTCCTGGCTGTCAACCAGGAATGTCACATTTCATTTCTACTGAATGAGTGCTGTTTTAGAGGGATGCAGAAAGCCCCATCAGGAGGTGAATTTATTTTTTCACACCAACATTTGAGATAAAGTACTTTATTCTACTTTTGAATATGAAGAAGAGGTTTCCACAGGCCAGGCTACCTGCCTACTCTGATGAATGGCAGCACAGAGACTTGAATCCAGGTTTTCTGATATGAAATCACAAATTTTATGTCAAATTTTTAAAGATTTTTTGACTTTACAGAGGAAAATGCCAGGTGTATCAGGTACTAGCCTAAAGGCTTCAACCCTATTAGGTAATATTATTAGTCCTCTTACAGCTAAAGAAATGGAGTAGAGCTTTAGTATAATTTGCCAAAAACCATGGAGTCAGTAAGTGTGAAAAATCAGGTTTGAGTCAAGAGCCCATTTGCTTAACTAATACATGCCTACATGATAAAATTTCTTCTGATTTTATTTCTATAAGCCTATAATATATAGAAAAAGAATGCCTTACCCTTAATTTTTAAACCTTAAAAATGTCTATCTATAGAATCAGATATCCTTTTGAGCTGAATATTTTGCACAAAATAGCCCCTTTAAGTAGCTTATTTATTCCTTAAAAAACTATAGAAAATACATTTCCTACATGCTTTTAAAAACTGTTGAATAAAGCACAACTTTACATGAATTAGAACCTGAGAAAATCCAGGCTAGGATTTAGTAAAACTGAAAAAAGTAAAAGGAGGATTTACTTTCCCTTAGATGCTTAAGAAATCCATCACTACAAAACTGACCTTTGATTCTTAGTTTATAATTTTGTTCATATTAGGTGGAAAATACATTTTAAAAATATCTTAAAGATTTTATACCAAACTTTCTAATTAATTGTTCAACTGCTATACTGGTTAACTCGGTCCAAGATGTTGCAAAAGTCCTGGCCTATGGTTAAGACTGTATATGGAGACCAACTGGAGTTTTCACGCTCACCAGCCCCTCTATGGACAGATGCTACCACCATAAGAAATACCTGGGTCAGAAAGGGAGTCAGGCTCACCAAAGATATCCCCAGGTAGAAAACACTTAAATAGCCACAAGTGCTAACATTTACTGAGCCTAACCAAATATCAGGCTCTGGGCTCAAGGCTTTGTATGGATTACAGATGGACTTGGACCAGCCCCTTGGGCAAATGAGAACTGTAGCACAGGAGAGCCTGAGCAGGCTGTCCACAGCTGCTCAGGAGTGGAGCAGAGACGACATCCATCCTCACGCTGTACGGCTCCAGCCCTAAACTCCAAGCTTTTGCCTGAAGCTTACTAAGCAAAATCTTTCCTTTCACCACTATTGGAAGTAGGTTGTTGTACAAATAGAGTAAGAGTCATCGTATCATCTACAGCAGTGGTTCGCAGGGTGTTTGGGTGGCTCAGTCAGTTAAATGTCAGACTCTTGATTTCAGCTCAGGGCATGTTCTCACAGTTCGCGGGCTGGAGCCCCCACTGGGCTCTGCACTGACAGTGCAGAGCCTGCTTGGGATTCTGTCTGCACCCCGCCCCCCCGCCCCCGCCGCTTGTGCACACTGTGCTCTCTCTCAAATAAACATTAAAAAAAAATTTTTTTTTTTAAAGAGCAGTGGTTCTCTTTTTTCTGGCGTTTTTCTTGCATATGGGTGTGTGCATGTGTACTGTATATGTGTGTGTATATATATATATGTATATATATAAGAATATTAACCATAAATAATGAAATCTTGCCCTTTGCAACAATATGGATGGACCTACATGGTAAGTAAAATAAGTCAGAGAAAACCAATTCCACTTATACGTGGAATCTAAAAAGAAAAAAAGGCAACAAGTAAAACATAAATAGATTGATAGAGAACTAATAGTTGCTAGAGATGGGGGAGGGGGCACATGAAATATATGAAGGATATTAAGTGGTACGATCTTCCAGTTATAATTAAGACATGGGGTGTAATGTAGAACATAGGAAATACAGTCAATATTACTGTGTCAACTTTACATGGTGACAGATAGTAACTAGGCTTATTGTGGTGACCATTTTATGTCGGTAAATATAAAATCACTATGTTGTATGCCTGAAACTAATATAATATTGTATGTCAAATATTCTTCCATAAAAATTTTTTTTTTTGTTTTAAAGCAGTGGTTCTCAAATCACCACAATCACCAGTGAGATTCTTTTAAAAAACAGATTCATGGACCACATCCAAGGCCAATTAAACCTGAATCTCTATGAGATTAGCACCAGAGATTTTAACTTGCAAGCTCTCTCACTGAGGTAGCCAAAACAGATCTAGGAAATCCTGATCAAGGATTCATTCAGAAGTCACTTTATCATTCACCATAAGGAAATCACAGTCACAGGACAAAACATAATCAAAAGAATATGGGCTTAATGCACTCTCTCCATAATGCAGATCTACATGAGAACCAGGGAGTATAGCACAGTTGTTCTAGATAAAAATGATCTTGTAGCAGACTGCCTGGAGCTGAGTCCCAGTTCTCTCAATAGGCAAATTACTTACTTTGTGCTTTTCTGTATGAGGAAGATATTAAAGGTTCCTATCTCATGGGGTTCTTGTGAAGATTAAATGAGATAATATATGCAAAGGATGGAAATGAGCGTCAGAGAGCTTGTAAATAGTACATGTGAGCTACCACTATATATTGATCACTGGATGATCATAAAATGAGGAGGAGGAGAATCAGAGTAACTGAATATTGAATGGCATCTGTTCAACAGATGATCTTGCTAACGAAACTTGAAATGTCTGTCATGTATTGGGATCAATCCTCTGCAGCCATGTCCACCCTCGTGATAGTCTTGCAATTCAAGTATGATTATTTATGACCCACTCCTCCACCTGAATGGGAACTGCCTATCTCTGCATTTTCTGGGGTGGAGGGTCCAAGATTTACCAACTTTTCTCCATTATACATTCCTTCCTTAACTTTATATATTTAACATAATTCCAGCACAGCCCCACTCGCCGAGGCCTTACCTTGTTCTGTGTCTTCCCAATCACTTTGCTGCACATACCTGCTCTGAAGCACTATCATCTATTGACTTCACAGTTTATTCAAGGGCTA